CAAATGGGTCTCACGCGAACAACACCCACGGTCCAAACCCAAAACGGGTTTGGGTTTGGATTTGGATCCAAATTCGTTTTACGTCGATTAGTTTGTTGAATGGAACTTGAGAGCACCATTGGAGGTCATATACGAAGAGTACGAAGGTGAAGACGAAGAAGGATAAGGAAACGACGACGTTCCGGTTGAGACAGGAGAGAGACGTGAAATAGGTATCGAGAGATACCCTTCGTTGTCGTTGTATTATCCGGAATCTGCATCGGAGACGACTGACGCTTCTTCGAGTTTGTCCAGTAGTTGCTCTAGTGTAATTTCCAGCACGCGAACCTACAACAATGTCACGTGAATGGGGAAGAGAGAGGGTTTGGCTCGTGATCTGAAGAGGAAGCAAATCGACTCGGCTCTTTTGCATCGCCGACCCAAAGCCATCTTAAAGCTCTTGTTTGATGGTTGTGCTTCTGAAGTGAAGATTCGTCAATTGCTTCGGTGACAGCCCAGACACTAGCAAAGCGTTGAGAATGTGATCTCTCTCTCTCTTTAGAATTCATAACTTGGCTGATCCAATCAGTGTATGGTTGTATGATCACATACGTAGATTATATTAGAAAAGTAATACAGACTGGATCAACGGTGATGGTTGCTATAAAATATGGTATATGTAATGTTATTTGAGGATTAATATATAAAAAGGGTAAAATGGGTTTGAATAAAACAACTGCGTTTTGTGCCAAGAAATTTGCACATCAAAACGCGGTCGTTTTATGCTTTGATGAGTTAAAATGTTACAAAGGTTATTTTTGTAATTGACAAAATACTGTTTTTTGCTTTTTAAATCAATTGGTATATCAGAAGGGTACTTTCGTCATTTAATCACAGACATGGTGCAATGTGATCAAATTTCATAGTGTTGGGGGTTTTCTAAAGTAGGTTGGGGGTATTTGATAAAAAAAGTGATAGTGTTGGGGATTTCGTGAAATTTGCCCTATATTCTTTATTGATTGTTTATATATATATATATATATATGTATATATTAATAGATATATAAATCCCAATTGCCACCCCTGGAAGAGAAAAAAGGATAGGAAAAAGAAGAGAGGAGAGAGAGGAGACAGAAAATGAGAGAGGAGAGAGAGAGAGACGAGAAAACGAGATAAATGAGAAAAGAGAAACGAGGAGAGAGAAGACGAGAGGGGAGAGATAAAGAGTGGAGAGAGAAAACGAGAGGAGCGAGAGAGACAAGAGAGATAAAATGAAATAAAGTAATTTGATTTTGAAAAATATCATGTGTGGTGGGTTAAGTGGCAAAATATCATGAATGCCCAACTTGCCAAAGAAACTCCTCAAAAGATGATGAGAAGGTGTCCGGAACAAAGTCAGGAAATTGACAAGGGGAAAATGACTAGATCTTGTCGGGGAAAATAAACCGAAACTCATCGGGGAAAATGGCCAGATCTACGCTGAGAAAAATGGCCGGAACTAAGCTGGGAAAATGGCTAGAACTAAGTCGAGAAATAGTCGGAACAACACTGGGAAAAGCCGGAACAAATGGCGAGAACACTGTTGGGAAATGACCGGAACTAAGCCAGGAAATAGGCAAGAACTATGCCGGGAAAACCAACCGGAACTCGCTGGGGACTGGCGGAACTATGCCGGGAAAGGAATGTGAAGACATAGAGAATATGCTCCATGATAAGAATACCAATACTCCCCCTCAAATTCTAGATGGGATTACAAGAACATCTAGGATTTGAGAAGAGAAATAGATTGGTGTAGATCCTCGTAACAATTACCGCAACAACAAAAAATAAAAAAATTATTTATTTATTTATTTTTTTCCTTTGTGGTGGCTGACATGTGCACACCATTTTTATTTATTTATATAATTTTTAACATCATCCTATCCCCCATTTTTTTTTTCTTTCTCCAACAAAACAAGGGTTTACAACCCCAATACAAACACACGCCGCCTCAAAAGCAAAGAAACACAAAACACTGAAAAGTGATAACAAGCGTGAGACACCGTCAGTCACAAACGCATGTAAACAACAATAACCTCTCTGTTTTTGGCGTGAGGTGTCATCGATGGCAACTGTAAGTAGAGCAGAGGAAGCCTCTGCAAACAACTTCGAATTTGGAGATGACGTCAGATATTAGCCAAACAGAGCAAAGTAGCTACGACGGCAACGAATAATCAGATCAATACAAACGGTGTTCTCCATTTGGATATGTCGATTGAGAATCAAATAGGTGGCGACGGCGACGCGAATCCATGGAGGTTCACGCGCGTCGAAGTAGTGGATCGGTTGTAGAAACTGTTCGAAGGAGAGGAGCTGTATTGAACAATGACGACGATTAGAATCCACTGGAGGGAGAGATTGCTCGTTGGAAAGTCTATGCGACGAATGCTGCCACGTGAGGCGTGTAGAGCACTCGATTTGCAAATTACCGACGTGTTGCCGGAGCATGGATGTTCCTAATGGTGTGTATAAGAGCAGTTGGCGCGCATGTTTGGAAGCAAAAAATTTTGCAGAAAATTGAGGTGAGCAAAATGGACAGAACCACCTAAGGGAACAGATCGTCGGCGAAGGAGATATTGGTATTCTTCACTAAAGTGGAGAAAATGAAGAAAGAACTAAGGGTTTAAAACCTTAGTGGTGAAAAACAAATCTGTAGGACGCTAACTGAAGAAACAGAGAAAACAACACACAGGTATGCTTCTATGTGATTATCTACCTAAGGATTGATGCTCTGATACTATGTTGAAAGAAAAAATAAAAGTTGAAGAGAGACATTAAAACATGAAGAACACAAGAATATAATGTGGTTCAAGCGACTAGGGGCTTACATCCACGGCACACAAAGCCCATAGGGCTACATTTCTTTCATTACATTCTCTCCTGATTTTGTTTACAATAACTATCTCTATTTATAGGTGAATTGGGGAAGACTTCTAATAAAGGAATTACAGAGAAAGTCAAATATAAATATGGCAACAACTTATTGCCCTCCTCAAGTTGGTACATGAAGATTTAACTCAAGTGTCCAACTTGAAATTAAATATGAAGTTGTTGAGAGTCTGAGATGAGTAAATCCGAGATGAGTTGATCCTGAAATTCGAGACAAGTTGATCCGAAGATCCGAGACGAGTTGATCCGAAGATTCGAGACGAGTTGAATGGAGATCCAAGACAAATTGATCTGAAAATCTGAGACGAGTAGAGTATAGAGTAGGGTATTATGATAAACCTGCTTTAATACCATGCTGAAATTGAAGAGAAAAATATAAAATGAAGAACACAAGTATATAACGTGGTTCAACCACTAGGGCTTACATCCACGACACAAATCCCAAATGGCTACATCTCTTTCGTTACATTCTCTCTTGATTTTGTTTACAATAACCACCTCTATTTATAGATGAATTGGGGAAGACTTGTAATAAAGGGATTACACAGAAAGTCAAATATAAATATGGCAACAAGTATAGCAACATTAACTTTCTGTCAGAGTGATTTATGGGCTTTAATCACTCCTATGATTATTCTCCAACAAGATGGAAATCAGGTTTTTCCCATAGGAGTAACGCTTTCAAGAGATGAGAGTAGCTAAAGCTTTTTCAAAATGTGTGCAAAAGGAATCTCAAAATTACCCAAGAGGGTAAGACTTCTTATATTTATAGCCTCATTGGGAAATGTGTCTGTTATAGCACTTAATGACTTGTTTGGATATGAGTTTTTGAAAATTGTGTCCTTTTTTTATACATGTCTGTCGCTGAGCCATAATAGGCATCTGTGAGACCGTGAACCCAGATTATGCCTTTGTGGTATGATGGTATAGATGTTTGTCGTGAAGACTATAGTCGTTTGTGGGTCATACCCAGTAGGGTTTGGATTTTCAGATCTGGCTTATAGACGTCTGTCTATGATAATTCTGGAAAATGTCTGTCTCAGTATTTTCTTAAAACACAGGCATAGACATCTGTGGAACCTTCCGTAGACGTCAGTTAGTCAAGTTCAGATTTTAGCTTTTGAACTCAACAGACGTATGTGACACGTTTTATAGACGTTCTTTTTCTGAAATTTCTAACTTTCGACACGAAGGCATAGACATCTGTAGGTAATTCATAAAAGTCTGTCTCTTCTTTGCACTTTTAAGTTGGATTTTCTTTAGCCCATAAAGATGTCTTGGTCGCTTGTAATCTTAAGTTATAAACTTCTTGAGGCTCAAATTAACTTTGGCCATGTCCAATGACCATATGAATGAAACCATCCAAGTCCAAGGGTAAAGTTAACTTATTTTAGAGACCATAGTGTGATATGCACAAGTACTTCATTTGGTGGTAGATTAATTTTAGTGTCCTAGACTTGAGCTTTCAAATCACATGCAGCGTGCATTAGTTTAGATTCAAGTCCCTGCATTCACCAACCTATGCTACCCATGATCTTGGCCTTCATGCTCCATCATCATCATGATCCATAGATCCACATGAGCTTTTAATACTTCAGTTTCACAATAAATGTGAGAATAGCAATACTCAGGTAAATTGTCAAATACTCATATTAATAGATTGTTATCATCAAAATCACCCAAATGACCTTGGGGTTAACAATAAACATGTATATAACATGGAAAACAATTGTTGTTATTAATTTAAACATAATTACATATGTTTAAATTTTTATATATACATTTCTAATGTCTTCTTAAATTCTTTCATATCTCAAGTCTGCATAGTGTCGTATCTGTATCTCATATCCATATTCACACTTAATAGTTCGTTTCAATCAATAAAAATAATTTTTTTACCAGGATTTTTCCTATTTCACATTGCTAAATGATTTGTTTTTACATTTTCTTTTCATTTTGAGTGTATAGCTCTTTTTTTCCATGTATTTCCACGTATTATTGCATATTTCAGCAGTAATACATCATTATTTGATTCTTATGTAGTAATATTGGTCAGAATTTTCAATTGCCTCACTGACTGAGAAAGTTTTCAGCTCCGGGTTTACACGAGAACATATGCACTTGACCAAATGGTGCAAGCAGTAAGCTCATCTGCCGGACTTCGTACTATCAAGCGGGTTGAGCAAACTTTACAAGATCTCGGGGTTCATTTTTGCTCCTTAAACTATTGATTTGATATAGATAATCTTTTTGTGTCATGTAGCATGATTTAATTTTTTGGATGTATATAAGGTGAAAAACTCACTTTGTACCATTTCATTATTTAATTTTTTTTAAAATAAAATTTTTACTACTGCAAACTTCTTAGTCGAACCAAGATGATATTTGGTCCTCATGCAAAATCCTTATTAAAAAATTAGCAAGGGTTGCTTTTTGGCCACACTTGTCTGATTATATCTAACTTAAGCTGAGAGACTTTGATTTTTAAATTTCAAGAAATACGTTACTAGTTGTTTCCGCTTAAAAAATAATAATGTTTCTGAAATCTGATATGTAATTGTTCCACTTCTCAACCATTCTCCTCCATTAATTTATTTCTTTTATGAAGTGAATACTAATGCCTTTTTCTTTTTACAGGTTAATTTGAAACCGAAGGTTCCAACCAAAGCTGTATGTGCAGAGCATCTTGAATTAAGAAAGGAAATACTGACTCTACTAAATCTTCAGAAACAGGTATTCCTTTCTAAGATTTGTATTTGTTTTTATTCTATTTACTATAATAAGATATGTATATAATATTTTGAGGTTGCAAATGTTCTCCTTTTCTAGTATTATGTAATTATTGTTTCTTAATTTAGTAAAAGTTTGTTTTTCTTTGAGGTTTAAAACTTCATTTTCTGGGCAAAACTGCCGTACTATTTCGTCCATTAGTTTATGTGGTCACTACGTCTTTGCGTTTGTACAAAACTAAGCAACTTTGCTTTGTCTTTGAAGTTCACATTCTTTATATCATCTGTTGTGACTCAAATTTTGTGTGATAAATATAGTACTATTGTATTATTGGTATGATTTATGGTTTTTATCATAAATATATGAATAATATTTTTTATTATCTTTGACATCACAAATATGTATTTTTTTTATTGTCATTTGACATGTTTGACCTTTGTGTGTTTGAATAATCAGTTGCAATACAAGGAGGCGGAAGGTTCATCTTATCGTGAAGGTTCATACACTGAAACACCAAGCACTCCTAAGGTAAGTTTTTATAATTTTGTTTTCCCATCCAGTAAGCATATATACATTGTACATATCCACATTTTTAAAGAAAATTGTTGTGAAAAATGTGGTCCTCTTCTATGGACGTAAAGTTTTGGTTTCCATATGTTGACAGCGTACGTCACGTGGTGTGGAACAGGACCGGACATTCATTCCTGATTCCATAGGTTTTGGAGGTAATATAATAATACCTGTACTGGACATTCCAATCTGGTATTGCATTTCCTTTAGTTATTTTCTTTTATTTTTTCCATTTGTCACTTTCAAATTTTTGCATGAGATGGGTGGCTTTTGTTAATTAAATTCGTGTGTTGGATCGGAATTTCAGGGGAAAGATTCATCAAAAGGGACCAGAAGCGCAAGGCAAGTACCTAATCAGTCTTATTTTATTTTCCTCCTTAGAGTTGCTGAACGTTTCATAATCCTGGCTCTACAGGCACCGGGACGATTAGCAGAAGCTCCATCATCACCAGCTCAGTCTAATAAAAGGCCTCGAAAGTTAAAAGCTTCAGACTGATAATTTGGCTGGTAAATAACCTAATAACTAATACTCATTCTTTAATTGTATGTGATGCTCTAGCTCACTGGCAATTATTAGAAGTAGCAGTTCTGAAATATTCGTTCTCTGTGCAAGGACTGATATTTTTCTTTATGTTGCAGTAGCAGCTCCTTGCTAGCAGACTAGCTGTGGCGTCTCGTGGGCTGAATAGATGGCAGGTTCTTAACAGCAGAGAATTTGTCATTGTTAAAAAATGTTACTACTAACGGAAGGGAAAGCCCCGTATGATTTCATTAGTAGGATTATTAGGTTTGGATATCATCAGAAGTCCGAGGAATGTCAGAATCATCTTGCCGTTCCAAGTATTCACATCCTTGTGATTTCACAACGAAACTGTCCTACAAAGAAGCACCGGAGACTTTCAACACAGTAGTTGGATTCCTTCTGTGAAGAAGTGGTTTCTGTTTGGTGTATTTGCGGGTTTATTGTTAATGTACACTACTAATCTATGTTAGTTTTTTTTTTTCGTGTAAATATTATTTGCAGCGAGTAGAATTTAGTTGGTATTTCTATCTGAGGTACTACTTTCTAATTGTTTCTTAAGCAAATATGATTCAAGCATCAAATTACAATGTGTTTCACTTTAGGGACCATTTGAAAATCTGTAGGCATCTCTTAATAAGTTTTCTAATGAATATGCTATAGCCCAATACTATTTTTAATTAAATGAGCTATAGCATATTAATAAGCATTTGTTGGCAAACGTGAAGAGATTGATTTTTGTTTTTTTTTTCCTCAGTTGGTACTACACTCTTTCAAAGAATTGTTTGCATTCAAGATGATTCAAACCTTAAAACGGGTCCAGTTTTATGTGATCTTGATTAAAAAAATAAATAACTAAATAAAACTGAAAACTCCCATGCAATAAGAGCAAGGTAACTTTAATTCCAGCACATTATATTATACCTAATCTGTAGGCATCTCTCAATAGCTCAGCATTTTTTGTTACATTATTTGTTGTTTATTTATTTTCACACCATCCACTTTGGGAAATGACATTAAGCCACGAGGAGTTTGGTAAGTAACTTAAGTGCACTTATTTCCAAGTATTCACATCCTTGTGATTTCACAAATTTTTTTTTTTTTTTTCCCGAAAGGTTAAGCAATCGAATAAATGAAGTATAATGACATGGTGGGCCTTTGGCCAATCAGCCCAAATAAAAGGCTGAAACAAGAAGTACAATAATCCAATTACAAGGATGGCCTAGCCCAAAACCGAAACAAATAACCTAAATTAACATCTAAATTAGCTGTTAGTGGAGGTTATCAATGCTTCGAATCCAGTGATTAAGCAATTAAGCAATGATGCTCAGTCCAATGGCCTTGGAGGAGGACGTCAACAAGATGGCGAGAGATTCCAGTCATTTAGGATGCGTCTTGCATGTGCACAGTCCTTAAAGAACCCTAGCTTGAGAATAGAAGTAATGGTGAAGATTTCTTCCAACGAAAGATTCGTTCATTTCTTTCTTCCTACGTGTGGTAAACTACATATGAGAGGCAAACCTTGCGAAATAGGTTTTTGGTGCTAAATTTGACCTCCATCGATTGCTAAATCCATAGAACTAGGATGTCCTAGTTACGAATTTGGGTGAAAATTTGGCATTTGTCTAAAATGTATCTCCAAATTGGCGAGATGAAGTAGAAATTAAAGAATAACTGATCATGTGATACGGTGTGGTTCTGGCATAAGACACAAAGGTTGTGGAGATGTGCCATTGATTTGTTATCTAGAGTGGGTAGTCTAAATTGCACCGCTAGTCATAGATTGAACTTCATTCGAGAGATTGTGGGAGACTATCATACTAGGTTGTGCCAGGGAATTGGAGATGAGTGACCTGCAGGATAAGTTGTGGTAAGCTTTAGACTATACAACCCTGTTGAAGATTCCAATTTCTATGGGAATTACAAAACATATTCATGATTTCTCTCCTTCAATACATGCACCTAATATTACTTTACCCTTTAATGTTAAAGTTTGAGAGAAATCTTACATGATTCCTTTTCTCTCTCTCTCTTTGTTTGTGTGTGTGTGTGTGTGTGTGTGGTGGGGGGAGGGGGGATGTTTGATCAGAGTTGCAAATGAATCTAACTGTTTGTGAGTGGTTTAGCCTCATCTTGTTTATTAAGCAAACGAGTTGAATTCGAGATCAAATTTTTAGCTTATGTTAGTAAATGAAGCGATCCCAAACATTATCAAGTTTGGCTAGTGTAGGCTGATCAATAGTCAATTCATGTAGGCTTGTACGCCATGAACATAGGCTTGCAGACAAGTTCATAAATACACAAGCTTATATAAATTTATGAACATAGGCTCATGAACGAGTCAAAGCGATCTTGAACATGAGTTTAAATTGGATTTAAACATGTTTATGATATCAAAATTGACATTTTTATTTAGTAAATGAGCGAAACCCAAAATTTTCAATATAATTGTGAGCTGATTTGGTTTCAACTTTTCAAGCTCCTCACAATCCTGGTTCGAGCCCAAACTAAGCTCACAAAATGAACACGCCAAACTCGAACATAGAAAACTCGACTCCGCTCGATTCATTTACAATCCTATATTTTACCCTTCGAGCTTAAGTTGTTTTTATTTTATTTTTTTATTTTTTTATATAAAGATATTGAAAATTAAAATGGATAAAAGGAAAACTAGTGCTCTTTTATTATTATTAGGGTAATTTACATTTACCTCCCCTACAGATATTTCAAATTACACTAATTTCGGTTACCTCCCTTACTTTTAAAACTTTGTAACAAATACACCCCTTTGGTTAGCTTCCTGCACACTCATTGCCGGTCAACGCTAACATCATCACTATCGCACCCTAAAATTGACTATACTACCTGTATTATTGTTCTGTCTTATTTAATAAAATTTAAATTACAAAATTATCCTTACCTTCTAGCTTTTATTTATTTACACACCCACGTTCTATATATATACATGTGCTGGATACACTCAACTACTTTACAATCATTAATATGGAGGAGGATGAATATAGAAGAAGAACGCAACGAAGACCTAACCCTAACCAATTCACCCCAAGAAGATTTCAAAATTACCCACGTCGTCGTCTCCCATTCCACCGCCGATTTTCACCATCGCCGTTGCTGGTGTTTACAATAGCAAGCCATCTCAATAAATCACAGATTCGCTTGAACTGATTGAGGCGGCGACAGAGGTTAAATCTTGGTTGGGGTAATTTTCCGAGGTAGTCGGTGAAGAGTTGGACAGCTTCTGGAATTTTGATTTTCCCCGACTGAGACGGTGGTGGTCATGATGTGTGACTGCATTGAAGTCGACCCCTCTTTCTCTCTCTGTTGCTCAAATTAATAAATATGTGATGGGCAAAAAAATAAATTTACATTGAAGATTTTTTGAATAAAATATGCATTAAAATAATGAGGATAGAAGTGTAATTTCATTACTCTGGTCACCGGATATGAACACTGGTGAGTTAGAGGGGAGGTAACCGCAATTATGCAAACTAAGGGGGATGCAGGCGTAATTTGACATATCTACAAGGGAGGTAACTGTAAATTACCCTTATTATTATTATTATGGCAAGAAAGTCACATACTCACCTATTTTTGTGGAAACTTGAATACTGAGACCTTTTACTTTAAAATGTGAAGAAGTATAGAGTTGTTTGGCAGTGTTGTTAGACGGTTAAAAGCTCTTTAAATTTGAAATTTTCTTTTATTATACTCTCTTTATCCCAAATTCTTAGGCATCGCTGGGATGCTAACTTTTTAAAGGGATAAACATTTAATGCCTTATTCCATTTTCAATTACAAAAATATTGATTTAAAATAATGTCAGTTGATGGAAATACCAGATTTCACGCTAGAAAAAAAAAAGAAAAAAAGCCATAAAGAAAAAGCTGCAATAAAAATAAAAAAAACGTTTGAGAAATTTTTTGTAAAATTGATAATATTTAGTAAGGAAATTAATTTTTTACATTAATGTTGCGTTTGGTATGGATGAATTGAATGGAATGGAAGTGGGAATGGAATGCGAATATAATGAAATGGTCATTCTTATTCTATTGTTTGATTGCAAATATGAAATAATTTAGAAATGAAATGATAATAACTATTTTAATATTTGGTTGGAGTCATTGTACCAATTTAAAACCTAGAATGAAAGGAATTTCAAATTAAAGTTCCCAAAATACCCCTCTTAGTTACAAATAATTCAAATTAATAAAATAACATTGTTCTATTAATTTTTTTTAAAAGAAATGGTGACGATGGTGGATGACGACGATGATGGTGGTGGAGGTGGAAGGCGGTGGTGGTGTAGATGGTGGTGTTGGAAGGTGATAGTGGTGTAAGTAGCAATGGCAGTGGATGTGACAATGGTGCGATAGTGGTGAAAGGCAACAATAGGGTAAGTGGTGGTGGTGAAGGAGATGATGCTGGTGGTGGAAGGGAGTGGTGGTGACTATAACGAAAATGTAGGTGGAAGGCGACAACAGTAGTGGCGGTACAGATAGTGGCAGTGGTGGTGCTTGTAATGTAATACCCCTAATTTTAAAATGATAGTCTCGGCATTTTAATTATGGTTTTATTGCATTTTGTTTGATTAATTATTTAATTTGTTTGATTAATTGTTTAATTGCTTATATGTTTAATTATTTTATTATTTATTTAATTGTGTATTTAATTACATTATTTGGTTAATTGTTTGTTTAATTGAATGAGTTCTATTTTTATTTTCTTTATTGGAATTACTTATTTTAATTGGTTAAATGGTTTATCAATTTAGTTAATTAGATTCAATTAGGGATATAAGTTATAATGTTAAAATTAGGTTTTATTCTTTTAGAAATCACGTATGGGCCGATTAGGGTTCAGTTTAGGGTTTTAATTGGACTTAGGTTTTGTAATTGCCTATAAATAAATATGTCATACGTCTGCCTAGGGTTTTAGAACCCTATTCACGGCACAGTGAAGGCAAAACGACATAGCAGAGACTTGTGAGAAAACAGAGCAAGTTCGGTGAGGGTTTTGGCTATGGCTTAAAGGTCGGACCTAGGAGGAGGGAAAACTGAGCAGTAGGAGGTTGAGTTGACAGTAAACGGACGTCGTCGGAAAGCTTAGGAAGACGGCAACAAGGTTTTGATTCCAAAACCACACAGGCAAGTTCTATTCTGTCTCTCTCCCCTTGACCTGTGTTCTGTGCATACCTAGATGGTCTCTAGGGTTTTAATTAAACGTTAACTGAATCTTGCATGCTTAGTTTATGTTAAATTAATCGACTATATGTGTTTTAATTTATTCTGTAACTGTTCTTGCAAGTTGGAGTTCGTTGTCTGTTTTAAAGTATAATGAGTCGGTGGTTTTTCTAATTGTTGTTATTAGTTCCTACTGTTGTAAACAAATGAGTGGATGCTACTGGGTATAAAATAGACTCTTAGGTTCAATATTAATGAATAATAGAAGGGTTGGAAGTGGCCAGAGACGAAGCAAATGGTCAGAAACGGATTAGAAACGGATCAGGGCTCTCAGAAAGGGAGAGAGCCGACTCCATGGAAGAGGGAGCTGGCTCCCTCAAGTGCAGAGCTGGCTCTGGGGG